CTGGGTGCAAGGGTAAAGGGGAAGGGGCCCAGGTGGTGTTCTCATTGATCATTAACTCCCCGTCGAAGGAGTCCTTAATAATTAAAGAGACACTGTCCAGCCATAAGTTCTCCTAGGGGACAAGAAAGGGGGGAGGATGGGAGAAATTATTTTAAGAACCCAAAGTTTTTTTGCTTCAATGTTTTGTGTGAACTCAGGGCCAGGCTGCCACCCTTACTTGGGTAGAGTAGTACCTTCTCTACCAGCAACTTCACTGAATTCAATGGGGCTATCAAGAGGGCCTTAAGGTGGGTAAGGGAGGAAGAATTCAGCACTAAGCGCTCAGTACAAAGGAAGGACTGATATTACTAGCTGCCAGTGCAGACAGGCACTGTGTAAGCTTCCCTTCCAGCTCTGCCAATACACCTTGCTCCTGTCCTGCAGCATTCCCTGCTATTCCAGTCCTCAGCTCCCCATGCAAAAACACTCTGCTAATGCACCTTAATCTTAACAGGTTGCACCTGTCCTGAGCTTCAAGCCCTGAAATTCCTACATAGCTCTGCCAATTCACCTCTGAGTTATACTGCAGGACCCCCTGCTACCACAATCCTGGCCCCACACATCTAAACCAAAGCACTGCTTCACCCAACCTAGAGCTGAATGCAAGCCAGTCCTCTAGAGGTGGAAGAGTCCATAACCCATCACCGAGCTCTAGATCATCTTACACTGCTCTGCTTCTCCCCACTGCAACCTGCAGCAGTCTTGCTGGTAAGCACAAAGATCTACCCACCTGTGCTGGAGAGTAACATCTCATGCAAAGACGTCCTTCAGGGTCCACTCTCCCACCACCTCCTCCTCCACCACCTCCTCCACTTCCTCCCTGTCCTGAACTCGGTGAGCCCAAGCTGCGGGGGCACAACCCATGTGCCATCTCTAGCTCAATCTCAGCATCCATCTCAGCGTCCTCCTGTGCCTCTTTGTTGCTGTCATCCAGGTGTTTCATAAGCACAGCGACCACCACATTAATGAGAACAAACTGGGCAGTGAGCACAAAGCTAACGAAGTAGAGCGGTGAGATGAACTGCAGGTTGCTGAGGCAGCTCCGGTCATCCTGGGTGCAGTCCCGCAGCGTGTCCTTGAGAAAAAGGTGAGAGGAAGTGGTGGAAAGGAGGAGGGATGGAAAGGATAGCTTCAGACAAGCCTAAACTTGGCTGTTACCACAGTCAAAAACCATAGAAATCAATGCCAGGCAGGACCAAGGTTCTTCAGGCCTCAGTGCTATCTGGGCATACAAAGTTCTCTGTGCCCATCACAGTTACAGGAAGTCAATCATGTTGGACGATCCCTGTTCTGTGTGCCAGAAGCATGTGCCCCACCTCCCACAGGTCTAAGGAGAAAATCTCTTCCAGACCTGTCAAGGTGGTCATCACTAATCTTATGCTTGTGAGCAAGATTCACTACAAGTGAGCACCTAATTCCAGTTCCATCTCAAGCCACCATCAATGTCCAAAGACCTGACCATTTTTCTCCCTTGAATGTTAGGAAGACATTTATTGCTGAGTGACAGAACTTGCCCATGTGATAATACTTATATGTGCCTGGTGTTTTGAAGTCAGACGCTGGGTCCCTTGTAGCTCCAGTCATCATACCAAATACATACCCAATCAGTCTGGGTGGAGATCCCTATTGCATTTAATTTTTTCCTTCAGCCTGACTTCACAGTCACCCTGCTCCTTATGGACAGAGTCTGCAACTATGTCAGCCAGCTGACTGTAAGGCTAGGCCTTATCTAATACAGCAGGAGGTAGAATGCTCAACCACACGGTGTAATGGTTTGATCTGGTGACCGTTCCTACATTCCCCAACCTCCCTGCTACAGTGCTTCATCCGTCCCCACTCCAGTAGAGAATTTCTCCTTCCTCAAGAGCAGAAACCTTTCTTCCCCTGAGGCTGAAGTTACCTTCATTATTCCATTCCAGTTGTCACCAGTGGAGACCTGGAAGAGCGTGAGGAAGGCCATCCCAAAGTTCTCAAAGGTGGCATGGCGACTCATGCCTTCACAGGGGTTCTCATCATTGCATACTGAAAGGAAGAGATATATAAACTGATCAAAGGATACATTGCTAGCTCTTGAAGCAGATGAGGGATTTGGAAGAAGACTTTCTTGTTATCATTCTACTCTGAGATTCCTGGCTTTACACCCAGAAATCAGCACCAAACAGGTCTCACATATTGCCTCATGGGCTGGCCTCATGCCAGGAATGACTGACCAGTGTTTGGGCACTGTGTATCAGTTTCAGATAAATGCCCAGCCCAAGAAAATCAAACAGTATAGCTCACTCCCCAGAGAGTGTCCAAGCCAGAAACACTTGGCATAATGATAAGGGGGTAAAATGCTGTACCCAGAACACTCAACAGCACTTGTATCACTAAGGCTCTCACTTGCTTGGGGTGAAAGGAGACTTCCCACTCCCTTTTTATTTAGTTGTATGAAAATCTTTGCCCATTGGAATATGATGGGGCAGACAAGAGGAGTGCACAACTTTACTTCAGTCTTCCTTGTTGTTGTGGTTGACAAGTAGGGATCCACCGGGACAGTGTATGGAAATGATTGGTTGAAGAATGAGAGAAAAAAACCTCATTTTGAAGCATGCTTTTTGGGCAATAATACCTTTGGAAGACAATCCTATTATGCCAAACACCTGTTGAGAAGGATGAAAGTCACCAGAAAACTCAGCCTTTTTTCTAAAATTGGAGCTGAGTCTGGTGCCTTCTGAAAGGTTTCCATTCCTCTGCAATGTTTGTGCCCCACCCAAGACAACTGCATTCTTGAAACTTACCCAGTTTTCCAAAGAGCTCCACTCCCAGAGCAGCATAGATGAAAAAGAGGAGCATGAAGAGCAGCCCAAGGTTCCCCACCTGAAACCAAACCACAGGATGTCAACTTAATATAAGCCAAGCCAAACGAGGCAATGTTGGATCATATCAAGCCATCAAAGCAGCAGCATAACATGACCAAACATTTCTATTTGAAAAAGCTTATTGAACCAGTCCCTTAGCACTCAGGAAGTCACCAATGAAGGCACCAACCATATTTCCACCACCCTTGGCTCCTAGGCCTTCCCATCCACACATCAAAACCGTCCAGGACATTCCCAATTGTCTGCGCTCCACAACATGTTCTCTTTCCTTTGTAATCTATAGCCTTGGACTCTGGGCCAGAAAGCAACTTCCTTCAGGCCTATGTGACATAGTGAAGCCTATACTGTGTTATTTATAAAGGCCAAACTATGACCCAAACTAAAGATCATGCCCTGAAAAGCCCCCTGCCCCTCCTGCCCCCACCCCACCCTACACAGATACCTAGCCTCCTCTGTTATCAGACACTGCCAAGTGGGAGTCATGTGGAAAGGCCTGGATGCTCATGCTTCAGCCCCTGTGGTGTAGTAAGTAGAGGACTGTGGAGAACAAAGTGCTAGTCATAGGTAGGGGCTGAAGGGAGTAAGTGGGCACACAGGAGACAAAAGAGTGAACCAAGGCTTTCTGAGGTGCATAGTGACAGGGGAACTATGGAGAAGAGAGGCTGCTGGGAAACGAGGGAGTGGATCTGTGTATGGAACAGGACAAGTAGGCAGCTAGACAGAGCCCATTTCTGTACCCTGTCTGTCAATATGCAAAAGGACCCACAAGCTCCTGCTGCCTGGTGCATTATGAGGACAGCACCAGGAGCAATATGGGAAGCCATGCTTCATCGGTATCACAGCTTGCCTGTCCTGCTCCTACCTGCCTGGCCTGCCTCCCTGAGCCCCACAGCTGGGATGGTGGGATGCAAGGCAGAAGCAGAAAATACAAGTTGCTAATGTCAGTGGATAGCTCCTGTTGGCAAAACTTGAGAGGAAGCAATGGATGAATAAGGATGGGGGAGACAACTTGTACACATGTGGAGGTGTGATCATGGCAGGGGTATAACATGCAGGGAGAGAACTGGGCATGTGCCCTTGGTACCGCCTAAGGGAACAGCACTGGAAGGATGAGGGGACAGGGCAGGCATTACCACAGGGCTACTTGCTGCAGCCTACCTTGCTGCTGCCTACCTGCTGCTTTGCCTGGCTGTGCTGGCACTTTCCAGCTCAAGAAAGCAGCCAGTTCAGAACGTGTGTTGTAGAGTGCAAGGAGTTCTGGGAATCATAGTCTTGTAGAGCAGCAGTGGAGTTTGCTGCTGTTGCGAGGAGAGGGGAAGACAGAGCTGCCACCAAATTCAGCACCTTTTTTTGCCCTCTGGACACAGGCCTCAGCAACAAAAAATGGGGTAAAAGTTACCCCTTGGCAGCAACAAACTCCATTGCCAGTCTAGAGCATTATGATTGCCAGAACACTTTGCACTCCAAGAGATTTGCCAGGTTCTCTGGCTGCATCTACATGTGCACTTTAATGAGCGTTAATCTGTTTTAATGCTCATTAAAGCATCACTTAAAAAACATGCTATTTAGTTAACACACATTAAAATAGGCTAATGTACATTAAGCATCACTTGAAAACTGTGCTCTTTAGTTAATGCACATTAAGACAGGCTAATGGGCATTTTCCTAGTACCTCACAATGGAGGTACTAGATTTAATGCGCATTAATTAAAGCACATTAATGCATGTGTAGATGTGCTCCCTGTGTTTTTCCTGTGCCTGTAATTGATAAGGTAGGAGGAACTGCACGGGGAAGGGTGAGAGATGGCTGACTAGGACACATTTTTTTCTATGATACACCTCTGGACTATGGGTATACTGTGTCTGAGGCAATCTTTAGAGCACGGCTCTTGAACACACCCTGCCTACCCACTCCATCTCCCCAGGTGCTGGTCCCTGTGAATGGCCCCTTGCTGTCAAGATCTCTGTCTCCAGAGTGCTTGAAAACGGTGGCTTCACTGCCTCATTTCTGAGATTGGTGCATATGGAGCAGGAGTGAGCAGGTAGGGGGCACCTGAGTGAGTAACTCAGGCAAGCAAAGTAGAGGCGGTATGGAAAGATCCTGTGGGTCTCTAGCCTTATAAAAACCCCAGAAGATCTGTCTTTCCCTTTTAAGAATTGCTGTGGAACAACCAAACCAGGGAGGGAATTCAAATAGGACAGTCACAGAAGCTGCATCTGCCATCAACAAGCCTAAATACCTTTTGGGTGTCTAACTGCAAAGAACATAAAGTAGAAGGTCTAAAGGAGAAGAGTGTACAAGGGAAAGGAGACTTCATTTTAAAATGCTTCTTCTGCCAAAGTCAATAAATCTTCAAAAATAATATTACAGATAATTCAATTGTCCCCTGAAGAGGGAACATGTAAAATACAGAGGCAAAATTCAATCACTTAAATGCAAAACACAGGGATTTTAGTACCCCTCTAAGTGTAGACTTTTAAATAACTTTAACTGTGGAGTGATTTTTGATTCCTCTTTTATGTAACTGTATTAAATTAAATCAACCTGTTATAGAAATGACCAAGGGCTATCTGACAGGAAATGTCTCAATCATAGACTCCTTGGATACTGTAAGAATTAATAACAGCCTACTGTAGGCTCTAAGGAAATGCCTTGGGCCTCTGCCCTTTACATAATTATTTATGTGTGTGTAGGGGTAGGCAAAAGAATCATCAGGGAAGGGGTCTTAGCAGAAAGGTGCTTTAAGAAAGCCTGGAAAAAAAGCCAGGCAAGATTCTTTGGGTAGATGTGATATCTTTTATTAGACCAACTAAATAGTTGGAAGAAAGTTCTTTGCAAACTTCTGGGCACAAAAAGGCCTGAAGAAGGGTGTTTGTGCCCAAAAGCTTGCAAAGAACTTTTTCCCAACTATTTAGTTGGTCTAATAAAAGATATCACATCTACCCAAAGAACCTTGCCTGCCTATGTCCTTAGACCAACACAGCTACAACCAACAACCCTGAGAACAGCCAGGGTTTCTCAAGAAAGGAGGAATAGTGAACCGGTGATCAAGGCATTGGAGATCGATTTGGAGGTCTGTCTTCAGTTCCCAGCTCCGCTACCTGCTCCTTATGTGATCCTGAGCAACTTGCTTACTCTCCATGTGCCCCAGTTCTCTATCATCTGCTAAATGAAGATGATAACACTTTCCTTGTCTATTTAGCCCATAAACTCTTTGAGACAGAAGCTGTCTTGGTGCATCTTAAAGCATCTAGCACAACAGGGAGCTGGTCTCAGTTGGAGCCCTTAGCTGCTCCTATAACAGATAAATCACACTAATAATAAACAGATGGAGATCAGATGAAGATCAGAATTTGGCAAAGATCAGAAACTGTTTTTTTGTTGTGACATGTAATTCCACTTAATTCAGGACATGGATTTAGTGACACCAATATCAGAAGTAAATTTCTGGCATAACTACTTGTGCTGTTCCCAGATTGATTTTCAGCTCTCATTCATGAACACTGACACATTATCTGATAAATCAACTGACAAATGCCTGTACATTTTGAGATTGTGTAGGATAGCTGTCTGCTATAGACCTGCTGAAGGAATGATCAGATCTATGATCAATAGAGCTACTTGCTGTCATTATTCCTTTCTTAACAATTCTCTCTTGAGGATCCAAGGGAAAGGAGAACTATCTCTCTGGCTGCTCATCCCTCAGGAGGGCTTCCCTTGGCGAGCTTGTGGTCTGTGTAAGACAGCGCGTCAATATCTCATTCTAAAACAGCTGTCTCTCACAGCTCATGAAATCCTTCCATCTCACTGTCTTTAGGAGACGTTTAGTGGCATGCTGTGTGAACCACAACAGACAGTATCACTGCTTCTCATGAGACCAGGGGCTCAAAATCACACAGGGACCAACTGGTAGAACAGTGCAAATAAAAAGGAAGAAAGAAAAAAAGAAAGGACAAAAGAACTGCACGGCACTAAGGGAGTTTTAAAGGATGGTGTAGCAGTAAGCAAGAATAGGAGTTATGAGAGTGAGACAAATATAGTATGAATGAAAGAGAACAGTGGAAAGGAAGCACTTGTGGGAAAGAATGAGGAGGCCAAAAAGAGAGAGTCCCCGAAAGGCTTTCTCCCTTCCAAGATGGCCACCACCCACTCTCCATTTTCATACTGTATGAGTGTATGGAAAGAGACTGGTAAATAGCAGCAAGTGGGAAGTGGTGGTTAGAAATCAAATAGGCAAGCAGGCCTCACTCAGAAATGAAGCCCCACTTAATCCAAAAACAACACAGTGTTATAGAATTGTGAGCTGATGAGCCAGAAAGAAAGGAATAGCCCCACGTGGCTGGCATGATGACCTTCTGGCATGACCCTATGGCAGACCTCGGCACTAACCTGGAGCACTCAGTAGACAGTCTCTGATTCTAAGTGTCCCAAGGACATGGACAGGGACACTGGTTCTGAAAGGGAGATCTTTGGAGAAGCTGGTTTCTTTTACCTGGGGCAGAGCTTGCACAACTGTGTCCAGCAATGCTCGCATCCCTGTGGCCATCTTCAGAAGCTTCAGAACTGGCCCAAAAAACAAAAAAAGAACGGCACTCAGTGCTGGATCATAAGGGAGAGAAATTTACTTTTAATACCAAGGCCACCTGCAGTAGCACACCATTTGATTGTTCTGTCTGTCTCCTCCACAAACTGATCCACCAACCAACCTCTCACCACTTCTCCAGCTGCCACTCTTTGGACTTCCTTTCTCCCATGACACCTCTACTCTAACCCATCCCTCTTCATACCAACTTCGCCTTCTCTCCCACCCTCTGCACAGCCTGGATCCTTCTATTCCACTCATACATACCCTGCCCCTAGTGCTCCCCTCCTCCTCCTCACAATCCATGTCACCTTTCCTTTTCCAATTCTGTACCCCCAAGCACCCCCATCATTCCTTTGACTTTTGACTATTTACTAACACACCTCAGGGAAATATTGACCATTCCAGGGCAAACCAGATCGGGCCTTGGCCCCCTCTGTGAAAACATCAGTAACTTTTGCCCCACTGACAAAAAAGCAGCAAGAATTTGCTTCTCACCAAAATCTGTCAATTATTTTGGTCCCTCTCACTCAGTGAAACCCACTGTTGCATGTAAACATCAGGTTAAGGGCAGCTGGGAGATAGTCTAAGCTACTGTGGCCCTTCAGGATTACAGGCCTGAGAAGCCATATGGTGAGCTGGACCCACAACCTGCACCCAGTACACGCTGCCCCACAACTGGCTGGGGTTGTCTAAAACCTCTGCCTCCAACCAGTCTCTCTCTCACCCCGGGCGATGCGCAGAACCCTCATGATGCGGATGATAGTGGGGTTGATGGGGAGAGCTGCATTGATCTCAATCTCCTCCAGTGTGATGCCCATGACAGAAAGCAACACAATAGCCAGATCCAGCTGGTTCCACCTTAAAGAAAAAAGAGAAGGTAAAATGGAGATTGTCTGCTTCTTTGAAAAGGAAACAGCAGTTTCTCTCTCGCAAAAAATCCCTCAACTCATAGAAACGTGGAAAAACAGGGAAGAAAAGGATGTCAAGAGATCATCTGCTCCAGAGGTGGCCAACCTGTGGCACAAGTAGCATGGACAGTTTTTGTGTGGGGCATGTAGATCAGGGAGTGGGAAGACACTGCAGCAGCAGAAGGGCCAGGGAGCAGAAAGCAGAGCAGCAGATCAGACAGGGGAATGGGTTTGCTGTGACACTCAGAGAGGGCACAGGGCTTAATTTGTGGCATACCTGCCAGACAGGTTGGCCCTAACTGATCTAGTTTAGTCCCTAAACCAGCCTGAACAAATGTTTATTTGACCTTCCTTTACAAACTTCCAATGACAGAGACTCGACAGCCTCTCAGTAAGTCTGAGTGATAGATGGAACCTAATGCAGTTGATGTCTAACTCTTCCCTATTGTGCTTTCTGCACCCATAAAATCAGTGGACTCCAGCATGAGACAGCCACTGTACAGCTCTTAGTGTTTACTGGATATCTCTCTGTTATGTTGATGGAGGTGTTCGCAAGCTCCTTTGGGCATACAGCAGGGCAGTCTAGGCAGCTTGCTACAGTTCCAGAGGCATGAAGAGATGCCTGGTCACTCAAGCTGGGGAGTCCACTGTCCAAGGCAACTGGATGTGGTCTCTAACTGCATCAATGCCTTGTGTGCTGTAGGCTACAGAAACTGGAGTGGCTTTAACCAAGCTAGTCTGATGGGCTGCCTGGGTTGGGCAGAACTTTGACCCTTTGTTTTGAGTAGACCTTTGCTACAAAGACTCAGGTGACAACGATGGGGCACTGTGCTACAGGATTCCATTACAGATCCCTCCCCAAAGCTCCTACCCCAAAATTGACCACCCTCATAGCATGACATATATGTCCTGCTGCTCACCTGTCTTTGAAGAATCGCCGCAGCCCAAATGCCACCAGCTTCAGAACTGCCTCCAGCACAAAGACGGTTGTGAACATGTAGTTGCAATACTTCAAAGCTGTCTCTAGAGACTGTGGATGGACAAAAAGGGGTAAAGAGGAGGAGAGTGAGACGCATTAGCTGCATGCCTGCTTGGGACATCATTGACTTCCAGCCTGGACCCATTTATATGTTTTGACTGATTAGGAATTAACAAGGGATGGAGATGGGAGAGGGGCTGCTGTATCCCATCCTGCATCTGCTTGACAGTTTGGTCCCATTTGCCACAGGTGGCCATCAAACTGCAGTCCCATCCCATGGAGCCCTCAGCATACTCTGCTGTTCACCCCTCAAGCTATTCAGTACAAAAGACCAACTTTGGGAAGGAAGGTGGAGTGCAGAGGGTTAACAACGCATTGTCACCCAGCCCCACTGGCACCCACAGCATGAGATCTGTGAGATGCTGCCCTATAAATAGCTCTGAGAAATCTACTGCAAGGGAGAGAGTCAGAGAAGATGCTCTGAGGAGAGAACCTAAGGCTGGATGACCATCACCTTTGGAGAGAGGAACACCATGGCTGGGATTGGGTTTGTTTTTGCTTATTGCCACCATTGCAGTCACTGTGATGATCATCAGAGGGTTTATGTTAATAGGATGTAGCACTTTTATGGCACCTTTTTGTCATAGGACCATAAAGTGGTTAGTGCAGTGATTTTTCAATAGGAATGCTGCAGTACCCTCATCCTTTTAAGAGTACCTGGCCCCTGTGCAAGGAGGTAAGCATGCCACACTCACCTGTGGCTGCCCCCTCCTGCACCTCAGCGGACCCTGCACTGACTGCATGTTGCAGCATGGTCTGCTGCAGGTGGGGGAACACGCAGTCAGAGCCTCACTTTTCAGCCCATTATTTTCCCTGGCTCCTCACAGGCTCCCAGAACTGGAGGGATGGGCTGCTGGGGCAGATGGCTCCTCCCTGGCATGTAAGTCCCTGGAGAAGCAGCCCATAGCAGTGGGGGTTTTCCTTTCCCAGTTAGGTACACAGTGGGGGTAGGGAGAGGGTCCCCTTTCCCATTCCCACTTCCTGGGCCTTATGTGTCCTGTTGCTCATCCTGCTGTCCTCCAACCCCTTCAGCATCCCTTATGTGCCACGTGTGCCCAGCACCACATCCCTGCTAGCCAGGTGTGCTTGGGCTCTGTTTGTTTTGGTCCCAGAGCTGGAATTCAGGGGGGATCACCCTGGGATAGCTAATGGCCAAAAATGGCCTGCTGATTCCCAGTCCTCAGCAATGACCTGGACCCATGTGTAGGGAGTTCAGGTGCCTCACTGGGAACAAATGTGTGCAGGACCAGGCAAAGCTAGGGAAGAGCTCCCAATGGCAGCATGAAGGGGTGTATATTGTACTTATATTTTACATTATGTCATAATATATCAATGAAATTAATTAATAATCCATTATTTAATAGTATAATGATACTGTTTACATCATAATACTGGTACTAAGGTATGTTAGTTTTTTTAAACAGGGTACTGCTACATTCTAAAAACTGACAGAGGGGTGGGCTTAAGTCTAGGCTAAAAGGCAAAAAAGTTGAGAACCAGTGGCTTAGCTAGTATTAATTAGGGAACCAGTAGTTAATAGTAAAGCTTTCCAATAGGCCTGTATGACCATCCTTGTTTTACAGATGAGGAAACTTGGGCAAAGGGAAGATAAGTGACTTACCAAAGACTAGGGTTTGACATGCGAGAGAGAAGGGATAAGGGTGGCTAATTTCTGCAGGGTGAAATAAGGGACATTGTAAAGATGCAGGAAGGTGGTTCAAAAACAGGAATAAAAGGTAACAAAATTAGAAAGAAACTAAGCTGGTCTAGAAGCAAAACTTGGCAGTGCATTTAAATACTGATGTATAGGTTCTGTCCCCTGTTACAGCCTGGGCTACCTCTAATGTAACCAACACCGGATAAAAGATCAGAGATGTTGCATTAAACCATTCAGGAATCTACAAGAGGTCTTCTGGAAAGGAAGGGTGGTTCCCTGGGCCTGAAATGTTATGAAACATATGTAGCAATGAGTGGGCACCTTCACAAAGAGAGAGCAAGCCCCTTTTCTAGGCAGGCAGTTTATACGTCTTGCCCCGGGAGCCTCTGTAACTTTAGAAGTGCTGAGGATTCATAATGACTCCCATTTCAAATATTAAGCTCTCCCAGGCCTTAACACCCTTTGTTATGATCACACTCCCTCCAGATGAGGGAAACTTGTCAGCTTTTGTCTACAGTGCTTCTCTCATGGAAGAAATGTGGCTGAGTGAAGAATTCTTTTCCCCTACCCAAGCACTAAGTGTGCCAGCCCCTGATGCACTCCCAGATCATCCCATTCAGCAGTGGCAAGAGAACTGGAGCAACAAAACTGGATTTTGATACATCTCCTAGGAGAGCAAAACTTGAAAATCTTTAGGCCTCCTACTATCCTTCACAGCTTTCCCTGTTGAGGCCCAGGGGAAAACACAAACAGAATAAGACCCAGGCTCAGATTGGGTCACTCTGATAGCAGGGAAAGTAAAAACTTCTCTATCTACAACTCCTGTGTGTTATGGTGAACTGTAACAGATGCAGCAGTAGCAAAATTACTTGATCATTATTTGTCCATTGCTTCAGGCAGGTGATGTTGACAGGGTAAGGAGGGGAAGATACAGAGGAAAGGTTTGATGAGGGGGGAGGTTAAAGAAGATGAGTGAATACTGAGGATTCCTTGGGGTTGTAATTTGTTCCCCTCTGCAAAGCATGATGGGAGAATCTTCATTTCTAACTCAATCTCTAATGGTTGCTCAATTTTACGCTTTTTTGACCCCTTATGTGACTTGCTGCTTAAGGGAGAAAATGTCAAGTTTTTCTCTTTTGGTTAAAGGAGGATAGAAAAAAATGGGGATGTGGGGATAGGATTTATAATCTCTTGAACTCACTCACCACAGGCTGGTTGTAGTGCTCCAGGGACATGGTGACGACGTTCAGGCAGATGATGAAGGTGATGAAGATGTCCAAGTAGTGGCTGGTGCAGACTGAATGGATGAGGAGGCGGACAGGGCAGTAGGAGGCGTAGTATGGCAAACGCTGCGCTTCTTTAAAGGGAGAAGTTAAAAAGAGAGAGAGAGGAAGACACAGAAAAGAGAGAAAAATAAGAAAGGGGAGCAGGAAAGAAAGTGGGGAGAAGAATAGATGATACAAAGAGAAAGAGAGAGAGGGAATAGTAGAAACAGAAAAATGAAAGAGATAGGAAAGATAGAAAGAAGGAGAAGAATAAAATAAAAGAATGCAAAGAAAGAACATAGAAAAAGAGAGGAAAAAGAGGGTGTAAAAGGAAGGACAAGAAAAGAAGAAGGGGTGGGAGTGACAGAAAGAATTTGTTAATCTTGTGTTTGTGGGAATGGCACTACATCAGCATTTCATGCCTCAGCAAATTAAGATCATAAATGATAAAAGGGAGCAGATGGCTCCAGGAAAGGCCCAGGGGGTGGTCTTTTCAGAAAAGACTGAATCAGAGGAAGGAAAATGCATGCCTGTGGGCTGGGAAAGGAGGAGAGTGATCAGACAGGATCTCTGGGGCAGGGGTAAATAGGAGTGATTCCAGGAACAACCATGCACTTGTGATGCATCTCTCACCGGATCACAGAGAACAGAAGCATGGGGGAGCCTCACTGGGGAGGGGACTCATCCAGTTCCAAGGGAATCTTGGAACTGATGAGTGAAACCACTGTGCAGACAGAAAAGGACCAGGATCACAGCAGAGATGCCGGTGTCGTCTTCTTTTTTATGCCCCTTTGATTTAAATGGGAAGTGGAGTAATGTAGGAGTCCTCTACATTCATTGGTGCTGCAGAGTTCCCTGAAGGGTGACTCTGAATCACAGAGGTATGAAGGTGTGTGCATGTATGTGCATGTTTGGGGAGGTTAGGTCCCTACTAAAGAACACACAGAGAAGCAAAAACACTTCTTTGAGCATTACTATTTCAGAAGCAAAGTGTGAAAAAAACAGCCACCCATCCCAGTGTGTCCCCAGGTGGACTGCAGGCCCCTTGCCCCTTCCTCTGTCACAGGCTGCTCATATTCTGGTTCTAGAGAGTAGCTGGCTGGGAGGGTGCCATAGCACCACAGCAGGGGTGTCCCACTGAGTGGAGAGAAATGCTGAGGGCTGGGGTCTATATGCCAATATACAGAAACCAGTTGGTAAGAAAAAAAAGAAGAGGAGAAGGTTTTTCTCAAAAAACCTCGGCCTACGAACCAACCAAACACTTAGGCTGTGCCTTACTCCTGCGCTTCTTCTCCAGGCGCCTCAGCCGCTTCTCTTCCCGCCGGCGTGCTTCCTCGGCTTCCTGGTGCTGCCGGCACTTGTGGAAGTTCTCCACCACTACCCCCACAAACATGTTGAGGACAAAGAAGCTGACAATGAGGAGGAAAGAGATGAAGTAGAGGAGCATCCAGGGGTTATTGTTGGTCACTGGCTGGAGGAGAAGAAAGAAAAGGTCAGTATTGTTTGCCTAGAAATTTGAGGCGGGATTCTGAAAACGAGGAAGGCAGTACACTGGGACTTGCTGGGAGTCAGTAATGGAACTAAGATAATGAGGGAGACAAACCAGAAATTGTGATTGGCTGGCTAGATGTCAGGGGGTGAGGTTATGAAAATGTGGGAGGTTATGATTACAACTGGCTTTTTGGGAGACAGGGTTACAATTGTGAAAAAGAGAGAGGAGGTTTGTGATTAGCTTGTTGGGAGTCAGGGGCTAGGGTTATGAAAATGAGGAAAGGGAACAGCTCTCTGCAACTGGCTGGGTGGATCTTAGAGGGGCAGGATTATGAAAATGAAGAGAGGAGCCACAAGTGGACTGAGTGACTGGAAGTCAAGCACAAGACTATAATAATATTAAGCACTCAAGCTGCTGCCTTGGAAATGCAAATGCAATCCCAGGAAAAGAGCAAGTGGGCAATTAAAACATCATAAAGTATAAAAGACAAGTGGTGGAAAACTGTGCTGGGCAGAGGGAAATCAATTCCACATCTAAGGGGTTATGGGAAGGTCATTTCTGAAAGCAGCTATCATTGGGTGCATCTACACATGCAATTAATGTGCCTGAATAAACTCTGGCACAGTCTGCGCCTGAGTTTATTGCTCCCCAGAGCAGTGTTTACATATGTGCCTGGGACTGCAGCATGTTGAGCCAAGGTGGCATAGCCC